AAAAAAAAAAGGAAAAACTTTGACCAGGGCACGAGTGTTTTATGTTACGGGCCTAAATACGTCGATAATTCGGTCGATAATCTACGATTCAGCGACGCTTATTTCATGACAGCGCCGCTGTCGGAATATCGCGGAACTAAAATATTACTCGGTTTCATGGTGGCACGTCAATTTCGCTCATAATATACTGACGAAATTTTTGTAGACTTCGTGCTCTTATACTAAAGCACCTAGCTCGTTTCTCCAAGCATAGTATTGTTCCTTGAGGATTCCTGTTGTCCGGATGATACCGTTTTTTAACGTGCAAGACCTGAAATTATTATATGCAGCACATATGTGGCGAGTCGACTGCAGAAGCCGATAACAAAACTGTAAGTTTTTAATTTTCTTTCGTTTTTCATATTAAAATGAATGAAGCGGACTATGTTATTGTCGATACTTTAATTGTGGAGAAGGAATTTTCGATCCATAAAGGCAATTAAAAATGCGAAGTCAACAAAAATTTTTGGTTAAAACAGGACACTCCAGCATCCCCTTAACATATTTCCAAATTCAGATTCATAAAATATACCTGCATCATTTTGACTTCCATACGAACCAATATCGACTAAGGTGAATTTATAATTTGAATCACAAGCAGCCATTAATACTATACTAAATGTTTTTTTATAGTTGTGGTATAAACTGCCAGATAGTGAAGGAGCTTGAATAACGCAATGTTTGCCATCAAATGAACCCAAACAATTTGGAAAATTCCACTTTTCAAGGAATCCTGCACTAATTCGCATATAATCTGCTTCAGATGGTGGCTGTAATACTTTAGGAAGTAAAACACTCGAAATGACTTTAGTTGTTTCTTTTATAATAGCACGTGCTGTCGATTCTCCAATACGGTATGCCAGTGCTATGGATAGTATCTGATCACCCGTAGCTAAATATCTAAAATAATAATTTAACTTAATATCTTTATCTTAAAAAAATTTTAAGGAATCTATTGCTCAATGTTAATTTTAATTAATCTATGTTTTCAATGTTAAAAAACGCAACTATATTAGAATTAAGCAAAAATTAAAGAAAATTATGGCTCGTAGCCCTATTATCTGATTAGTTTTAAATTCGTTGAGCCTTATTACAATTGAATTTTAAAAATATCACGCGGGCAAAATGATGCGTTTAGTATTACAATTTTATTAAGGGGACGTTATTCCAGATGATTATGATTTGCGTTGCAAGACTTACGATAGTTCGGCGCGCAATTTGGAGGGATTTTTCAGTTAAAAAGTTGCGTTTTAAGACCGACGATTGTTCGGCGCGCAATGTATAATACTTTAGATAAATATTGCAAAGAATATTACTACGTCGACCCGCCATCAGATGTCTATTGATATTCGCAAATTCTCGCAAGTGCTGAGATACGCGTATATCACTTTATATAGAATCTCGATTTAATAACTTACACCGGCG